CCCCCCCCCCCCATCTGTAGACAGCTGAGTTATTTGAATTTTATGCAAGCTAGTATTCATCCAAAGGGAAAAATCATTCAATGTATGCATCAGACAAGCGAAAATTACAATATTGCACACTTTCAGTTTTTAATTCCTATTTGCTTTTCTCTGCATTCACCAGCTTGGGACAGACATGAACTCATCCCCTAAAGCTAGTCTCTACTTAAAAGTTAACTTGAATTAAAGCTTGAATGCCCCCGTCCCTTTTGAATTCCTGTCCTTTGCACTCACAAGGATTTATGCTTGAGCTGCCGTGGTGCTTTTACCTTGAGCTGGGGAAAGGCTACAGTTCAAGTTAGCACAATTTATCTGCTGCCAACACAATCGCTCTCTGCTGCTCCCATGTTTTTCCATGGTGTGGTCACTCACACTCAAAGTATCCTAACTCCAGAGGAGCCAGCTGGAGTGCACAGAGCTCAGATTAACCCTGTTGTGAAGACACAGCCTTAATAAGACTGCAACTGATTTCTGCACTTTATATATATATATATATATATATATATGCAACAAAAAAGCCATACAAGTAGTCACTGAAAACATTCTGGTTCAGCTGGGTTCTGAAGAGGTAGCTGCTCACTTCTGATGTCGTGAGAGGAAAATAATCTCTTTTTTTTTTTTTTTTTTTTTTTTTTTTTTTTTTTTTTTTTACATTTTAGAGAAGAAAAACAGCATTTAACATAACATACTTGCAGCTTTCATTAGAACAGGCAGAAGTTAACAGATGTGGAATTAACTGATCACCACTTTCTTACATAATTGTTGACCTTGTACACAGTACGTAATACCTATGTGTTTGGCTTACTCTGTGTAACAAGCTTATGAAATTGGAAAATTATTTTTTAAAAAGATGATGTATGAATCCCTTCAAGTAGAAATACAAGTTTTTATCCTGGAAATCGCTCACGGAGATCAGCTAGAAAAGATACTTGGCTGCCTAGTTTGTTCCTCTGCTTCAGCAGACTCATTTGCTTAAGCAGCTGAAAAACTTCAGGGTTTATCTTTGTTTTCCCCAAAACATAAAACCTACTTAAACTGCCAGGAGGTCCCAGGCTATTGAAAATGGAATGATTTGACAGCACAAAGAGAAGTGCTGGTTAAGCACCCATCAAATCTACATCCATAACCCCATGTCCCAGAAGTCAAGGATACCACTCCTCTGTGTCTACCCCAGCACAACACGGGTTATAATGACAGAGCCACCTATTGTCCTTTTTGCACTGGACAAAAAGAAAATCTGAAGTTAATATCAAGTTAGTAGATCTCTAGATTTTATTATCTTATCTTGGATTATCTATTTGCTGCACGCTGGGTGCCACAATTTAATCTTCATAAGGAATGGTGATTTTCTTTTTGTTTAAAACAAAGAGAGTGAGAAATCCAACAGCAGGTTGTTTCATTCCAGAGCAGCCAGCTGCACACAGAAGAGCCACGTTTGAGCACACTCCCAACACTCACCCAAGACTTCTCTGTCTTACTTTTTACCTAAGAGCTGCTGCTTGCAAGAGATATTCTGTCCAGAGACAGAAAGGAGAGAGATAAAAACAAGACTGTTAGTAAAGACTGGAAGTCACGCTAAACTAGTGTGTCTAGACCAGCATTCATCATGAACTGTCATGTGCTCTATAGCATATTAACTAATGTGACTAATACATCACATGCTTCTTTCCCCACCCTGTCTTTGGGAGAGAAGCATGTGCATGGATATTTTTTATTAATTTTTTTTTTCCTTTAATAATGCATGCATGTGTTGCTGCATTTTGCTAGAAAAGGCCGGGCCGAAGCCAAGTACTTTATGCTGGAAGACACACTTTTGGGTCAGTCCTCAAGAAAGTTCCGTTGCAAGAATCGCCATCTGGTTAAACTTTTAAAAATTCACCCCCATACCAAGTTTTATAAGACCAAAAAAAAAGAGAGAGAGGAAATCTCCACTCCCACTAGCTTATGTTTTCTCTTTTTGCTCTTTGCTGTGATGGGACTCCTAGTATAGACCATCTAAACTTCAGGGCAATTTGAAAAACACGGGGTTGGAAAAAATAGCCCAAGCAGAAGGACTATCTGGAAAAACTAGCCCAAGCAGAAGGACTATCTAGAACTAGCCTCTCCTCTCCCCTCATCCTCTGTACATACCTACCCTTCAGGTTCAGTGGTCTCGATAAGGAAAATGAAATACCTTAGCTAATGCTAAAACATACAGTAGAAGACAAGTATTGAGTATTTACACCCTAGCAGTGCAGCATTACAGCAGACACTCTGCCAAAGAGAGATCATTGCCTTCCTTACACCCCCAGGATTCATTGTCTCTTAGCCTGGGAACCTGTCTCCGTTCCCAAACATGGATATTTTTTTTGGCAGCAAGACGGAACAAAAGGCACAAAGAGAACTAAGAAAACCCTTTCAGTGAAGCTGTAGTCTTTTTTTTTTTTTTTCCCCCTAAGGACGGGAAACCTTCTAAGGATAGCTTACAACACACCCAATCCTGCTACCTTACTGGAAGGTGCTCAATGCTCATAGGGACCTAAAGGAATTGGGGTGCTTGCAGATTCCAGCCCAGCTTTTGACCTTGAAAAATTACTCCTCTACCTTTAGCACCAAAAATACCACAACATTTTGAAAATGAAATCACTGTTATATTTGAGTGGGTGTGTTATTTCGAGACAGCACTAATGTGATTATAAAATCAGTTGTGTCAGCTTATTGGCTCGGCTACAGACACTGATCTGCTCGAGCGTCTGTTCCTCTAACCGGCTGCTCGCATTAGGGTGCTTTGTCCCTCCTCAGCTCCGTATAGAAATAGATGCGATCTGATTCCCCCTGTTGAACCAAAGAAAACCCTTCTTCTTCCAGTTGCCCACTCGTCTCCATGAAACGTTTCCAGAGCACCTCTAGTGCCAAACACAAGCACAGCATCCCCCCGGCCCATGGAAGGCTGTAGCCCTTACACATATCTGTATGTCCCTGCAGCCCCAGCCCCGCGCAGGCTGGGCTCGCTGCTTCCAAGTGACAACAGCCAAGGGAAAAAAACGCATGGCAGCAGGCTTCAAGCCTCCCAGCCTCACTCTTCAGACTCCCTTCCGAATTTTTCCTTTGCATTTGAGCTCCCTATAAACATTTCCTCTCACCTATTACTGCATCCTGGTAGCAAGTATTTGTTTTCCCCTGTTTCTCTGTGGGTGTCTTGACAGACACTCGGTCGCTTACGCTGCCAGGCACGGTTTAATGCTGTCAGTGGCGAGTGACTCACTGGTATCAGAGGTGTCAGTCCTGGCAGGTTTGACTCAGCCCTTCATCCTTTGGCAGCAGACTGGAAAAAAAAAAAAAAAAAGGCAATTTCCATTGTATCTGAGGCAGCTTTTCAGACGCAGCCATAGCAAAACGGCTTTACATACTTTAAATCTCCAGGATCTGTAAAGATGCTATAGTTTGCTGGCTCCACTGGCTTGCTGGTTTTTCTCACTTCTGTATGCTGGATCACCCAGCTGCCTCTCTGCACCCCACCGACCGCTGTGGTTCATTGCTACCACAGTCATCCCAAGGCCGGGCAAATGCCATGTTCTCCTTACTGAAGGTGGTGACTCTGAAATGCTGCCGTTAAAAACCTGTCAAAAAAATGCTGTGCTGCTCGTACAGCAAGAATATTTCAGTTCCCAGAGAAAGTAAAAGGCACCTGAGTAAAATACTACCTACCCATCTTTCCCTCCCATGACCAGGCTCAACACACTGTGCAATGCCCTCAGGCCAAACTCCAAACTTTCCATACGAGAACTACCTATGGCTCTCTGTCCTGCACACAGTATGTAAACATGAGCCTTGAATCCAACACGAGCTGTGTTTGACCACAGTACTGTACTTACAAGCCACAGAAACTTGACAGGGCCTTTATGCAATGGTCAAGATGTTCGTTATGGAGATGAATATCTACTGATTTCAACTTTCTCATCGTTATGTTACGTGGACTAACACTATTGCACCTTCCTCAGAAACCCTACCCAATATTAACCTGGTCATCTTCAGCCTAAAAACCTACACAATGTATCCCAAACTGCTTTGAATATGAAGTCTGCCAATAAATCAGGCGATCAAAATGGTGGTGGTGAAAAACAAAGTTTGCCCACCCTGTCTTAGCATATTTAGAAAAAAATGAGCTCTGCTGTGGATGATAGGGTCTGAGCTTGTGACTGTACACAGAAAGCCAGGAGAGAGATTCTTTTGCTTTGCTGTCCTGAACACTTCATTTACTCACTACATCCGAGACAATTAAACTTAAAATTAAAAGTTTAAGAGGTTTTGCCCTTGTAATCTCTCTTCATAATAAGAATTCCAATTGTTAGTTGTAAAAATGGACAAATATTTAAAAAACTGAAACTCATGAACTTCCCAAATTAAAAAAAAATCCTTCAGATTGTGTTTTAAAGTCTTTTCTGACCTTCTGATCTTCTAAATCTGGTGTCCAGCCTAACAAGAAGAGATTAATGGACTCTTTAAACAAACACTGAGACTGTTCAGTGCCAAACCTGAGCTACGGCTTACATGGAATATTCACCCAGTGGCCGCCTTCCTGTTTATTCCCAGGGGGTTTTGGTCAAGAACACAGCTTTCTATTTTTGACAATTGGTTGGACTAATGGGATGGAAGCAAGGGAACCGAGTCCTGACACCAAGTATGACTGGTATGCACACACACTGCTTTTGGGTGAACAGTCAGTGCAGACGCAGAGGTAACGGAGCCAGCCTGCACAAGTCAACTGAGCTTTTAGCATAACAAAACTGGAGCTATGATGCTGCCAGGACAATCTTAGGTCCAGAAGCAGCAGAGCCAGGTTTACACAGGGCTGAGCTCAGTGGGACCCAGACCATCTCTTTGGAGCTCCAGCTGAGCAACATTATGCAGGTTTTTCCACCACGACAGTACTCCATTCTCTTTTACCTCAAACACCGCAGACATGGCTACAGAGAAGAAGTGATCTTGGACTGGAGTTTGCCAGGGCCTGCAGCAACCCCTGCAATCTCTGAAGATACAGAAAACAGGAGGGATAAAGGAGAGAATCACTGAGTGAAAAGGAACCACTGTTTATGAATGCTGATGAGGAAAAATACTCATTTTCGCTGCATTTCACAGAATCGTTTAGGTTGGAAAAGACCTTTAAAATCATCTAGTCCAACCGCAAACCTCTTTATTATTTTAATTTAAACAACCATGGGAAGAAGTTGTCCTTAAAACACGTTTAAACACATTAAAACCGTTTTCTCCGTGCACACGTGCCAGACTCAAACCCTCTCTATCTAAGCCTGTTATGCCAACAGAAGGATCCACAGCACCTTCCCAGGGCTCTCAATCAGCTGTGAGAAATCTCTGTCTCCCTGAGCTCACTGTCCAGGCTCCCCTTATAGCCAGCAGAGAAACCCAGATACTCCTAGGGCACAATTAATTTATCCCAAGTTAGTTACCTCCGTATTGACTATCATGGAGTCTAGACAAGTGATTCAAATGGAGACATCCAAAGTTACACCAGAGGAAATTCACGCCAGCATGTAGGAGGATATGCACAGCCCTTCCCTCCCAAACTCAAGGGCTTTGAAAAAAGATTCCCCAAGTCATTTTGTGCTGCACAGCTGGAGCCGTGTCAGAGCCACAGGGATGTCCACAGCTCTCAACAGCAGCAGCTCTAGGAGGTGGCTATAGGTAGCGCCCACACCCAATACAAAATGTGTCTTGCAAATACAGGCACGAGCTAATAGCCATTTTAAAGGTTTTTCTGAATTCCATCACTTGGCACCTACAGCGCATTCTCCTTTCACTGCAACTGAAGGGGTTCCCTGCGCATGAGCCCGGCGTGGTCCACGCCATCGGCATGGGGGAGTGCAGGGAACAGCCACGCGAGCGGGATGGGCAAACACGGCTTCTTGCAAAGCAAGGCAGGAAGGTCGGCTGTGGGCAGCTGCCCGGGCTGGCGGGCAGAGCCAAGCACCGTCAGGCTGAGGGAGGCACCAGCCCGTGGGTCTGGAGCCACCAAAATGGGAAGGAATGAAAGATCCGTTGCTTTTCCTTTCAGGACACATTCCTGGCCGCAGCGCGGTGCCCAGCCCGTGCCTATCTCAGACGTGGCCCTCAGTTGAGGCAGTCGTGCCACAGCTGTGCTTAGAGCCCCCCTGAGCACATGCTTCTGCCAGCCTGGGCGGGTGGCGGATGATCCCCAGGGACGTTGCTGAATTCACCTAAAGACTCCCCACAAACTGCAGCATCAGCCCTTAAATGAACTTCAAACCTCACCTTAACTCTAAGCCTCAGCATTGTAAAAGAAGGGCAGGAAGGGAAACTTAAATATTATTGTCTTGGTAAGCGAGGAGAAAAAAAAAAAAAAAAAGGAAAAAAAAATCAAGATGTATTTTGGCAGTTTTCCATGTCAGTTTTCCCATTTCCCTCCCTCGTGCACTTTCTGCAACAGCAATCTGTCCTCTCCCTAAACACTGAGCAATCCCAGCACTAAACTAATCAATATTAATAGCGATGGGCTCGGGCGGGGGGGAGGAGAGGAGAGGAGAGGAGGGATTACCCTGACCTTTTTCAACTCACACTGCCTCAGACGGCCACCAAGCAGCTGAGGAGAGAGCAGCCAGACGGTAATGCCATGTGGTTTTAGTAGCTTTTCATTTTTTGATTTTTTTTTTTCCTGTGAATATTTATTTCTGTTGTTTCAGTGCAGATAGCAATGAAATTTGTTTATCTTCAGGAAGGAAAAAAATTGAATTATATCAGCCATCTCCGGGCCAAACCTTGCCTTGATGGGGAACTCCACTGAAATCAGGGGAATAACACCCAGGCTGGATTTTAACTTGAATTTCTATTCAAAACAGTAATTGGATTAGGGAAGTTTTGACAGGTGAAGTGTCGAATGCCGGTGTGCTTTGTGGTTTTCTCTTATAACAGGGTGTAATCAAACCTATTGAGCCTGTGACTGGGATATTGAGTGTGAGAGCAAACAAAGGGCTGGGGGAACCGGTCTTCTATTGTTAAGCACAAGTGTCCAAGCAGCTCATCCAGATACGGGGGTATGTATGCACTCAGGACAGGGTGCTCAGAATTAAAGACAAATCCTATTAGTTAAAACAAAAATCATAATTTAAGCTCTTTGTTCGTACTGGATTTGGGGGTTTATCGTAGACTTTCTGGTTAGCAGCATTTCTCGAAAGAGAGGTTTACGTTAGGAGGCACCATGGATTACTGGCAATTAATGCATTGTCTTGTCTTTACTGAGATATTCTCGTTTCCATGTGCAAAATATGATTTTTAGAAATTCCATCTAGATAAAATTCTATTTATGCCTTTCGTCTTTTGCTCTGAAAGAGCCAAGCCTCAGGGAGAGGTCCCAGATTGAGGTGTTAGATTTGTGGGGGGGGGTTGAATAAACGTTTTTATGGTATTTTCATATTTTTTCTTCCGAGCAGAAAATGCTTTGCAGATGGCTGATATCACAGCACTAGCTAATGAAACCACGGCTGTTTTTTTTCCTTTCTTTGTCAGGACCCACCATGTCCGACAAACCAGATTTTGCAGAAATTGAAACATTTGACAAGACCAAGCTGAAGAAGACGGAAACCAGAGAGAAAAATCCATTGCCCACTAAAGAAAGTAAGTGTTTATGAGGCTGTATGAACTACAAGTAGCAAGGACACAATCTGTATTGCAGTTCATATGCAAAATGAATACTAATCATAGGATTACAGGCTCAAACTCATGCCTGACTTTAACTGGGGATAATACTAAGACTTGTACTCTATGCTTGGCTTCCGAGGATACGAGCAGTTATAACTGATGGTGCATTTTGTCTGAAAAATCCTTTCTGATGGGATTGCTCTTGCTTCTGCTAAAAGCAAGACCAGATTTTCTGCTGGTTGCAGGTAACAAGATCAAAGTGTTTGTAATTACCATGTTACCAGCCTCTTTGGAGGCACAGACCCATGGGGGAACCCTTGCACATCTCTGGCAGGCCTGGCAGCATCCCCCCAAGGTGCCTGGGTTCTGGATTTAATGTTGTCTAGCAGATGGGCTGCTGCCCCCCACTGTTACCTGCTGTCAGCCCCGGCCAGGAGAGCTCCAGGCCCCTTCTCTGGGAATAAAGCTGCGAGAGAAACCCATCATCATCCTCACCTAACAGTCAATCTTCCTCATGCACGGTCTCCCACACACATGCTGTGCACAGGTGAGGGTTATGATTCACATTCAACTTCAATGTGAAAATGGCATCTCTCTGCATTCAGAAACTGTGAGTGGTTTCCTTCAGAAGAATGTCACTAACCACTTTTGATATGTCAGTACTGATAGCCACGGACACACACTGTCCCTCGACGTAAGATACCTGTTTTTCCATTTTATCATCCCTACTGATGCTAAAGCTGTAAAACAAGAGGAGGTTGGCACGTCATGAACTGCACCCTACTAGCTGTGCAGGGGAATAGGTTGACATTTCAAGGGTGGCCAAAGAAAGCAAGTGGGGATTTGTCATTTAAGACTTTAAGAATGATGGTAGAAATCTGTATCCTGCAGAATCGTTATAATGTTTATTGATGATATTTTTGTTTCCTCTGTTTTTCTGGCAGCTATCGAACAGGAAAAGCAAAGTGAAAGTACAGCCTGAGCGTAAAATTGAAGATGTGACTGCTGCTTCTTCAGTGGGGTTTTGGCTTCCGAGTTGGGTTTGGTTTTTTTGTCCCCCCATCCCATGTCTGTTGAGTATTTATTTTAGCAAACATTTTCTCATTTAGTGTTCCCTGGGGAAGAAGTTTGTTTTGTGTTTGTCAAACAAGATATTCTGTATTTGTATTTTTAAAACTGTAATTTCAAATTCTGTATCAACCCCCTTACTTGCCAAAAAAACCAATTTGCATAAAAATTGTTTTTTCTAAACCTCACAATAAACAGGTTTCTTCTGATCAGCTGTCGTTGAGCCTTGCAGAAATAGGGTTTACGCTGCAACTCTTACTAGCATCCCTCTCTGTTTGCATTGCCACGGCATCTGGAGAGCACAGCCAGGTTGGGAAGAGTCACCCCAGGCCCCCACAGGTCTGCCAGGCCAGCACACAGCCCCAGACACCCCCTGCCTCCCTTTGCAGTAGCCCGAAGACTTCACTCCCTTTTCCTGTGTCACTCAAAAGAGTGTTTCAGGGGAAGTCTAAGAGGCAAATTTTGTATGCTAGTAGCTCCTAAGCTTTTAAACCCTCAGCTTGGCAGCAAGCATGAATAAGATGGGAAGCTGCTGGCCTGCTTCAGTCCTGTCCAACAGTAGGTTAGAGGTCTCAGAGGCAAGTACCCACTTACAATTTCCATGAAAAATTGATGGTTGGGCTGAGAAAATACTCAAATTAGCATCCCAGATGGGAGAAGGGCTGCAGCACTCCCTTCACAGCTTTCTTCTCTCTTTAGCTTGCCAAGATCTAATCAACCTTGGGACAACTGCAGCACATGTAGCCTTTAGCCCATCTAATATCAAGCAATATAGGACTGAGGGAAGGTGGGAGAAGGAAAGAAAATTTATTATTGCAGTGCTTTTCTGGGATGAGAGAGAGGCCTTCAGCAGCACAGGGGCGTAGGACACAAACCTTCAAAGCAATCAAGGACTCCCTAAATCTTCGTTACTGGTGGTGCAATAACATCCTCACTGATCTGCAGAGAGATTGGCAAAAAAACTCTGGTACCAGCTCAGGGGACTCTCAATTACATGGTATCACATTATCTCTGGAATTAATTTGCAATCATATTAGAAAAACAAGTGCTTACGATGGGAAGATAAACTGCTGTCCCTGGAGCTTCTGTTTGATCCTACTTGCACTGTGAAAAAATTCTATGTACTTTAACAGGGTTATTCTGGGTTTATACCCGCATAAGGTCAGGCAGAAACAGTTCTACAGGCTTCAGAAAACTGAAATGAATGGTTGGGGTGGTGTGGAGAAAGCTCTCATTTACTTAAGGGCTGTTTGACACTTGACTAATGTCAATAGTCAGAACGGCAATTAAACAATAGCAGCACAGCCACTTTCGATGGCAACAAAAAGCAAACAGAGATGGCCAAGAGATCAAGAGAAAACACATGGCATGCAGGACTAGGGACTTCAGTGAGAGCCTCATTAATGTCGGTGGTATCCAAAGGGCCACAACTGCTGTTTCAATCACTACTCATCAGTTCAACATTGCTGCTGCTTTGATGACCAAGTTTTCTTGCACATTCTCCTTTGAGGACCTCATTCACCTTGGCACCTGACTCGGGGCGGGGGGGGTTCAGGGTCTGCTGTATTTATTAATACTCATTTTTATTTAAAAGGTGAAGAATATGAAAGGTTGAGCAACAAGGAAAACAGCCCTATTTTCTTTGTGACTCATGCCCTCCCCTCACCCCCGCACGCTTCAGGGTCAAAGAGCCTTTGACATTATTTAAATATCTGCTTTGATGATGATTCCTTCATGGAGAAAGCGTTCAGAGATAGCACTTCGAGCAACAACACTTACTGGAAACTCATATAATTAATACCGTTCGACCAGATTACCCATTACTTTTCTGCAGGATGATTTTTAAGTACCGTAGCACACTCAGCATGTAAGTCCACAGACTCGACTTTCTCCTTGTTTTTGCCAGGAGACAGTGCTTTGTTCCACATGACAATGTACCTCCTTCTCTGCCAGTTCAGAGCATCTGCCAACTCACTCAGCACAATACACTGTAAATCACAAAAAGCCTCTTCGGCATGACTGAGCCAGAGGCCAGTGTCTGTGCCTCCAAGTTCTCCCAGAAACTCAAGGTCTGGGCTGCGTCCTCAAGTCTGCACTTTGCAGGAGGAAGGGAAGGAAAGTCTGGCCAGAGCAAGAAAACAACAGAGAGATTCTCCCCTTGTGTTTGCACAGATACAAGGGATTAGCAGCGTGGCTCTAAGGAGTGACGTAAGAGATCAGAACATTGTCTACCAGATCTGTCCAAGCACTTGGCTTGGAGCTGCTCCTGGTGCCGCTGCAGGGCTCACTCTGCCCCCATGAAACCTCCTCCCAATTTAGCCGTTTGAATTTAAAGCCCGACATCCTAAACCCAAAGTCTCAGGGCTTTTATCCACATCTCACCCCACTGGAAAAGCAATATAGACAAGAAACACTTTAAGCAAGTTCCCCACCCTTGGATCTGACTGCAAAAGCTGTTGAGCTACAGCAGAGTACACCGCAGATTCACACCAGGAAAAACTCCTGAGGGTCAAAGGCCAGAACTTCCCCCCTTCACCCACCTGCCCCAGGTGCAACAGACTTCATGGCAGGGTGTGGAGATTGTTTCTTTCACCATCAGCAGTGAAGAGAGGCTTAAAGCTAAGAACATGTAGTTACAGTACCCCGATTTGAGAAGTGCCCCTCTCTGCTGCTGCCTGAAACCTCTTCAGCCAGGAACTGGATCATGAGATTAAAATTTGTCAAGAGCAGGGACAGGTCTGGCTCCATGTTATCTTAACCAAAGAGCATTACAGCCCTTATCTGTGGGGCAAGCTGGGAACACAGACCAGGAAGCTGCTCATCATTTAAGGCTGAGACAGTGAATTTTCATCATTCCAGTGATTAATACTAAGGAAATATTTGTTCCTGCCTTTGGAAGGGAGCTACAAGACAAGACAAACCAAACACCTTACCCACACCTAGGAAACACTCTCTGGGTGTTAACCTGCTCCTGACCTTCACTCCCAGGCAGAGCATCCTCCAGCGCTGAGGCTCACTGACAGCCACCCACTCCAGGAGCTATGGTCCTTCCCCAGCCTCCGTGCTGGTGGGCACCTGAGCTGCAGACAACTTCATCAGCAAACCCAACCAGCTCCAGGTGGGAAGCTTAAATATTTTTGCCAATTATCAACAGCCCTTTGCTGTTTGGATCCCTTACATAATGAGACATTACCTTGCAACTCCTCCAAAGGAAAAACACCTTCCATGCTAATCCAGTTACAGAAAAAAAAATCATTACATGCAAATAAACACCCGCTTTCTTGGCATTACCGTGAAGCCAACCTTGCACCCTGCATCCCGGAGAGAGGGCCAGCCCTCCTGGGATCCTGGCCAAGTCCACCTGCCCCTGTGAGTCACCTCTAATTGCTCTGCACAGTCACAGCAAGCCCTGGCTAAGCAGAGGAAATCTGCATTCCTGTCATTATTATACAGAAGTTCATTGATTTAATAAATCTTGTTAGGCAGGCATTTGATAACAGTGAAAGCCAGGGAGGACAAACCCTAAACCTATCTCTCCTAAGAAAAAGGCACGTGTGTGCTGGGTCTCAGTTAGAGCCCAGCTAAAACCCCCTGGAGATCCTGCTGATCCCACAGTCCAAGTCCCAGAGCACGTGTGGAGGTTTTTTCCCACTATATCTGTGTGTTCTCTCTTATTTGGGTCATTAGCCCCATGGTTACTGAGGCATCTCACGACAAATCTTTAGGTTTGGTTCTGCAGCGATGAGGGCAATCGGCTTTGGCCAGGTTTACCACAACGAAAGCCGAGATGCCCGTGCGAGGCCAAGGTTGGAGAAGTCTTGGCTTTGGAGAAACACCTTTGTGTGTTTCTGCTCTGCTGTTGGTGGTGCTCCTGACACAGCACAGACCTCTCCTACCAAGTGAAGAACAGGGACAGAAACAAGGGGGAGATGTGAGAGAACACAAGCTCAGCAGGATCAGGGATCTGAGCCGCAGTTGTGTGGGAAGGAGGAGGTCGGGGGGCCCGGAGCGCAGCCAGGGAGGGGCCCACAGCAGCAGAAACTCGAGGCAGAAGAAGCCAGGATGGGTCTCATGCCTCTGCCCAGCTCCCCCCTTGTTTTTCCAAAAACACAGGGTGAAAACAATAGTCTTTTAAAAAGCACTAACCTTCTGGTGCCAAGCTGGGGGAGCCTCCCACACCGCACACAGGCAAACAAAGCTGCTGTGTCCTCCCGGAGCCGGGGCACGGGCAGCCGGCCCCAGCCGCTCCACCTGCTCCCACCCAGCAGGTCCGTGGGTCCCCAGCGAGCTCTGGCCGTCCCAACCTGATCCTGGGCACCCAGACGTGTCCCAGCAGCCAAACCTGCTCAGCCTTGAACGTGAAATGCAGCGCGGGGATGGTTGGGGCTGAGCCAGAGTATGTGGGAGCAGGTGTGTGCATGTGCGGGGGTGTTTCTCCAGCTCAAACCCAACGCCGCTCAAACTGACAGCAGGGTAAGCTCTCGTTTCATCTTCTGTGGCGGGTATCTGTGCCGGGAAAGGCGGCTCTGTGTGCTTTCTGTCTTGTCAGAAGAGCTGGCTTGGGAAGGAACAGTTGCTGGGGATGGTTCACGCACATCTTGTATGCTGTGCTGACAACAGCTCTTGACAACTCCTACCATCAATTGCAAATCTCCCAGTGCTTCGTTTTTGCTTCGAGGCCCAGCTCCAGAACTCATTCCATCGATGGGGAATCAAGAAAATAAGGGGCAGAAGGGGGAGCAAAAGGGGGGTTTCTAGCCAATGTGGTCAGAGACACATGAAAATGGGGTCTTTTAGGGCTCCAGCAGTAAGCAGTGAACGAAAAGAATGAGATTTTTCAAAATAAAACTGCAATCTCAGGAATTTTAAGCTGGTCTCATGAATTTAGAGGCCAACTTGGTATCGAAATTTTTGGATTTGGCAAAGATGCAACAAGCAGGGAGGAAAAAAATGATGTGTGACTCCAAGTGGGTGTTTTCAAACAGCATCTTGTTTGAGGAAAATAATCCCTCTTGGTCTGCTTTGTTTTCTCGTGATGCTGGAAATAATTCTCCTCTTCAGAGAGAAGAACTGGGGATTTCTTTTTCTGTCTCATCATGGGAGCTACTCCAGGTCACGCCTGACCATGGCTGGTCCCCCTATCCCTTCTAGCACCGGAGTCACCACCTCAAAGTGTTAAAGAAACACATGTGTGGGTCCTATATCACACATTTTGTTTAGAAATGAAGAAATCAGCCATGAGATGCCTTAGCTGAAGTCATACCCTCTCAGGACTGAGCCTCAGGTCAGGGGATGGAGGCAGCAGGGATGCTCCCGGCAGCAGCATCATCCTGGGACCCTTCTCTCCAGGGAGCAGGAGCAGCAATAGCTAATAGTGCTGTAATAGCTCCATAATGGCTTTATAATAGCTCCAGCCTCCCTGCCACTCCTCCTGACTCGTACCATTTTATTTCTGCCCTGTCCAGGCTCCTATTTCAGTGGGAGCTGAGTAACCTGAGCCCATGGCACTGCTCTGTGCCAGCTCTGGCCATCACCCACCACGCATCAGCTCCGGCACGGACCTCACCTGGTACTGTCAAGGGTGGCAGGAGCGAGGCCGTTCAGAGGGAGAAAGTGTCAAACAACTTCTGTGCCAGCTGCAGTTCTCCCACGTCAGCAAACATCCCCAGTAATGCTAAATACTTTAGTGGCATTAGTCCAGATTGAGATGGGGGCAGCTAAAATGATATTAGCCTGGGCGCAGGAAGGCTGAGGGGCCACTGGAGAGATGCTCTTGCCCACCCAACGCTCCCCACATCTCGGTCACATAGCAAAGGGAGGTGTTTGCTCTACAGAGGGCTTCAGAGTGGGGAAAACCTAGAGGAAACGGCTCCCAGCAGGAGTGAGTAGGGATTTGCCATGACCAAACGGTAAACACAGTTCTGCTCAGACCTACCCCAGCCCCAGGGCAGCCCAGCACGGTGTGGAATGGCATGGCAGACTATGGCACAGCACGGCACGGTGCTCCCTCCCAGGGCTGTGCTGCCCTGCTTGGGTCTGCACCAGCATCACCTAACACTCCCAGCTGAAAACCATCGCATCTCTCTTTTAATATACATCTGGCACCATTTTATTATCACGCTGCTTTAACATCCCAAGCGCAACGCGCACAGCCAGGGCTCCCATTTAATTTTACTTCTCTTTTAATGTGTTTCATGAATACCCAGGGAATTGGAAATGTCAGGACACCAGCGTGGCTGTAATGGCCGTGGGAATCTGCCTCCCTGTTCACAATAGATAATTGAAGACTATTTCAAACGGCAGCTGCCTCAACGTGAGCGTTGGCTCCTCACAGCTCTGACCCTGGCTTCATTTATTTCCTAGCTGCACAAAGGACTAATAAAGCTTTAACTTACCTGCTTTTATAAACTTTAGTTCTGAAGCATTCAGTGCACGGCTGAGGAGGAAATAAGAAAGTTTAACCTAAAATAGCACTCAGTATTCAGAGCAGGCTAAAAAGTATAAATCCCAGAGCTGTGCTCAAATGACAGGGATGTTATTTCTCTCTATAACACCGAGATAAATGCACCAACCAGCAATACCTGATGATGACTTTGGTCTATGCTTCAGTGTGCACCAAATCCCTGGGGAAGGGTCCTGCTTAGGGGGTCAGTGCCACACTCAGATCCCTCGGAAACACAATTTTTTGAGTCTCGAGATTAACCCCCTGGCAACTGCTAAATTCTGCGTAAACCAAGTAGGAACGAGAACACGGGTGGGAGCAGGGCTGGGTTTCCTCTCGGGCAGCAGGTACCTCCAAGCCAGACCTGCTGGTGTTCAGGACGGGCAGCACTGACCCTGCGGTTAATATATATTAACAATGCCAACAGCACCCCCCTAAACTGAGGGGGATTTAGGGGAGGTGGGCTGCCAGGGAGGTGAACTGGATGGGATTTAGGGAACCTGTGCTCCAGGTCTCTCCCCTTGAGCAAGTCTTGTCACCTCATTACACTTCGGTGTGAACCAGGAGTGGTGATACCAAGCACCTTCGTGCACAAGAGATGCCTGGGCAGCCTCCCTCCCATTCACACAGGCAGCAGAGGTCTGGTGCAATGCTGAGTCCCTGAGTATCTGTTATTCCACAACAGTTGCATGCAGACAAGCTTTCCCGTCCCTGAAAGAGCATTTTGCTAAAATACAACTCCTCCTCGCACCATGTGCAGCCAGATGAACCACAAAGCCGTGACACAGATATTTTTTACCATCCCTACAGCCTGAAATCCCCAGGGATGGGCCAGCCAACCTGAGCAATGAGCACTGAAAAATCACTGGAGGTTGTTCCAGCAGGTGGGATCGTTGGGCAGCTTTTACCCCAGCTGCTGTTTGAGCTACTCAGATGGGAGGGGGCTTTGCAAGCCTGTCCCATCCATACGTGTCCACCGGCCACCCAAGGACAGCTGGGACAGGCTGGGACGGGTGTGCGGTGCGGGGACATCCCACAGGGGGGAGCCTCGTCACCAGCCTGCGGGAGACACAGCCGGGACGGGGGGGCACAGCACCCAGGGGACAGCACCCAGGCATCCCCGCTGGCCGCTGCACCCTCTGCTCATGCCGCACTGCACCCTTGTGTCTGAGGCCAGCACCGTAGGTTTTGCTCCATTTCCACCCTCTCGGAGGTAATGGATGCAAAACGTTCTGTTTTCATCCTTGAAGGGACCGGGCAAAACTCCCTCCAAAAATACCACAGTTCAGGTTTTCAGGGGCGGGGAATATGATCAAGGAAATCTGTCTTCAAAGGGTGTCACTGGTAAAAATTCAGCCTGCGCAGGGTCCTAACCGGCCTCCATGCCTGGAGGATGCTGACAAGCTGGACCGGTGAGCCAGATCCCCACCTTACACCTTCCTTTCGGGTCAACTTTAAGCCAAACAGTAAAGGCTTAAAACTGGTATAGTAAAGCCAGAGACCTTGCCACAAGTTGTCACCTCACTCTGAACTCAGGTAACACTGGAGATGTCTCCTCCCGCCTCAGAGATTAATAAATGCATGGCACTGCCTTCAACCCACAGACTGATTAAAGCGTGTATATGAGCATGACATCAGTGCCCCACTATATTAAGAAATGGAAATATGCAGCTCGATGCCTGTGAAAGGACAGGCAAGGCAAGCAGAGCTTCCTTGGGGGGAGAAAAGTGCTGGATCCACAGTGGGCACCACAGGGGGAGCGAGCCCCCGAGCAGTGCAGGTTCCCCACTGCCTTTGTGGGCAAAGCAGGTGCCAGAAGCAAGTTTTGTCCTCACTTTGTTTTTCCCAGCAAGACTCAAAGTGTTTTTAAAGTTACTCTTTGGCCCAGGATCCTCCAGAGGAAGCCTCAGCTTTGTGCACATTCAGAATCACCTCTGTCCAAAGAAATACAGATGAGTTTTAAGAAAATATTCATAGCTCAAATCACCATTTTCTGCTGCAAGTCTCCAAACCTCCCACACTCGGTGTGCCAGACACAGCCAGCACCATCACATGTATCCTCCAGCTCATAAATTAAGATCTTTGGGTTTAATCTGTTCTCCGTGACATGAAGTGGATGGGGGACAGGAGGGGTGACGGAGCCACTACCGCAAAGGGACAGCGCGAGGAACCATGCTGGGAGAGGCTGGGGAGCACCACATGAGCCAGGTTGTAATCAGTTAATTTAACTTAAGTTTGGCCAGGAATGATTAAGAAGGAGGTGATAATTTTCCTCTGTATCAAGTGCCCAATCTCTTCCTGGACAGGCTTTTATCTGCTGAGGTGACACATTGCCAGGACAGAGATCTGTTCCTCTCATGCAGATGCCCAGGCAGTAACCTATCGGCTGCACTAACACCGTTTTGCATGACACTTCCTTTAAAGAAGGAGAGAAAAACAAAACACTTATCCCTACTTTATAATGCTGCTATGTAAACAGCCCTGTAGGCTTTGAAAGACACACCTAAAGGAGGCAGGTGAGGTGGGGCTGATCAGGTCATGGAGCTGCTTCTCCAGGGCCAACCGGCAGCCGAGTCCTCTCAGGAGTCACCAAGATCTGAAGGTTGATCAAAACGTGGGTGTTTTATTCTGCCCCGCTTTTCGGGGCAGCTCAAGATGCGGCAGGACCAAGTTTGGACACATCATTGCCCCAAAATAGCTTTTTTGGATGCCATGGAGACAGACACATGGAGTAGCCGCTGGGATTTAGGAAACTCAGCCAGGGCAGACCAACAGCCCCACAACAACCCTTTTCCAGGGGGTAGATCTGCTCAGCAAGGAAACGTTTTGCTCCACTAGAAGGGCTGGGAGAGTTTGGGGCAGGAGATGTGACCTCCCTCCGCAGTGCAGAGGGGATGCCTCTGCCCCCGCAGAGGGATGTGCCGGAGCTTTTACCAAAACATTTGACCCTGCAGGTCATCTGCTCATTGCCCCCATACTGGGAGGGGAAGGGAGCTGCCTTTGGGAGTCTGGAGATGGGTGAGGAGTGGGG